CAAAAATACCTTGTTTTTAATTAAGTTACAAAATGATATATTATTTTAAAATATTGGGTTTATATTTAGTGTGTTTATTATAAAGGGAGTTTTAGTTTTCATTAAGATTTTTTTTTGTAGATTCTTACTTATAATGATGCTCTATAAATATTGATTAATTTAATACAATAAACATGATACTAATGTTTTGATATTTATGAAAAAGAAAAATTTAGGATGTAAATGGTAACAGCATAATCTGGCAAAATTGCAGAATTTGGCAGAATTTTTGATAATTGTTTACGGAATCTAGCAGAATAACGTTGAATGTAAATGGTAACAGCTAAATCAGACTGAATGTGGCGGAATTTTTAGAAATAAATTAATAAATTAAACTTATTAAAAATATTTTGTCAAAATTAAACATTAAAATTTAAAATGTATTAATTTTTTTTAAAAATAATAATTTTTTTATTTAATTATCTTCCAAACCCAACTTATTTTGTTAATGTTTTTATTTTTATAAATTTGTTTAGTAAAATTTAAAAATATTTTATAATATGAACTACTACTTTTTATTTTTGTTTATTGGTAATATTAGTAATTTGTTGAATTTAGCCAAATTGTTGAATTTAGCTGAAATTTACAAATTCATTCACTAGCGAAATAAATAAAATTATTTTAGGTTAAATCGCTAAAAATAATTTGAAATAACAAAAAATAGAAAAGGAAAAATAGTTATAAACTAATGAAGTAATATTAATCGGTTGAATAACCGTAATGTTGTTTAACATTACTATTAAGAATAAAAAAAAGTACTTTTTTGTCTATATATACAAAATGGCATACAGAGTGGGAAAAACAAATAATGACACACATTAAAAACATTAGAAGATATTTTGTTTTCTCTAAAAAAAAACACATTATACGTCAGCGTTTTACGAGATATTTTCATTTGAATAAGACAAAATCAGAAGAATTTTCACTTATTCCCCTAACAATCAACTGGTGACATATAACAAAAATCCAGCTGCATTCTTCAGAATTCTTTAATTATGCTGGTACCAGTTAGGGCCTTAAACAAGCATTTAGAAAGAAAGAAAACTAAAAAAGAACAATGCCATGATTAGATATTCAGAATTTATTTGGGGTTTTCAAAGTTGTTAAAGGATACAAAATACAAAAAAAGGAAGCTAATATACCTTAATCAACATACATTTTTCTTCCATGGAAAAGAGAATACATAATATTTAAAGTTGTGAAATAGTAAGTTAAATATGTATAAACATATATTAGTTTGGAGAAGGAAATTTTTTAGAGTGTCGAGTCTCGGGTGGTCCAATGAACAAATCAGTCACCACTTCCATTTCGTTGTCATCTATGTCCACTTCCGA